ACGTCAGTTAGTCAGTCAACTACAACGTAGGATTAGGCACATATATGCATCGGTCTAAGTTGCCATAGTTCATTAGCACAACAAGATGGACACGGAAGTAGTTAATTCAATGATGGTAATATATAAAAGAGAGATTGTAGTACAGGAAAAAAGAATTAGTTAATAGAAAGAAAGATATAAAGCAATTCTCATCTCTTGGTATAAGGGAAGAGAGAGTGTGTATACACCGACGCCATTGTGATCGATTGTAAATCATGCCACCAAGAGTCTCAAACCATTAGTTACGATAGTCACACAAACCTCAACATAGTAATCTGCATCTACCAACATGACTCAGACTAGAAGTTAGTGTCTTCAAGCACTGATGCCACGTTTTGGTTTAGCCACCTTGAACAATTTACGTGAAACTATCATTATGGATAGTACCATCAAAAATTTAAATGAAACAGTAGTATAGTAATGATATCTGAATTACTATGGCTTTTATTTTTTCAAAATAACTTGGTCTTTACAAACTCTTTTATCTCTGGTTCATTGAAAATATCGTTCAAAAAATGATTTACCAGGTTAAATGGATAGGCTCAAAGAAAGTTACTTACTTACTTACTTACTTACTTACTTACTTACTTACTTACTTACTTACTTACTTACTTACTTACTTACTTACTTACTTACTTACTTACTTACTTACTTACTTACTTACTTACTTACTTACTTACTTACTTACTTACTTACTTACTTACTTACTTACTTACTTACTTACTTACTTACTTACTTACTTACTTACTTACTTACTTACTTACGCCTGTTACTCCTAATGGAGCATAGGCCGCCGACCAACATTCTTCAACCCACTCTGTTTTGGGCCTTCTTTTTTAGTTCCATCCAATTCTTGTTCATTTTTCTCATGTCTATCTCCATTTCCTGGCGCAATGTGTTCTTTGATCTTCCTGTTTTCCTTTGACCTTGAGGATTTCATGTGAGTGCTTGTAACAATGAGAAAATTGTACTCACGATAGGATTTAATACCATGGATTAGATCTAGCTCTATTTCTGTATTCTTGTTCATTTCACTTTATAAGTATTCTTTATTAAGTGACCATTTGGTTAAGATACTTTACATTTGTCTTTTCAATTGTCGTCAGTTAACTGACTCTTAAAATAAATACAAGTTAATACGTTTATCCTATTTGACACTTATAATATATCATCACATATTGATTGATATGACATTATGTTTAAGTAAGAATAAATATGATTATTCAACTGAGGTAAACGTCATGAAGAAGAGGAATTTGGTCGACCAAAACCAACCAGCTCAGAGAACAAAACTCCATCAACATCATCCACCTGAGCTACAAATCTTCTCCACCATCTCGAAGAGGAGTTTTGTTTTCTTCACGATGTGTTTAGTTTCTTTTTTTAACATGGTATCGTTATGACCTCTTCACAGTAGATACAATTTCTTGATATTTTAGTTCAATTTTTACTATTAATTATTAATTGTCATATGAAAAGGATGAATAACAACAGGTAAGAACTGGAAAGGATTGCTCAGGACAGGGTTAGATGGCGAGTGATGATGGGCAGCCTGTGCTCCTCTAGGAGTAACAGGCGTAATTAAGTATGTAATTAATTGTCAATCATATAAATAATCATCAGCGTAAAGTGTTATTTCACAGTAATGTTTTCTTGCTTAGCTTATATCACTAGGTATAGATTGATGTTAACTATCAAAGAGTTTACTTATCTGACATTCAATATGAAATGTAAGACACTGATTTTGTCAAAACGAAACCCAATTCTTTCAGTTTTACATTAAAAATATTGTAATAATTGTAAACGTAGTTCAATATTTTATCTATATTTCACGCATATAATAACTTATTATTCCGTTAAAAAAATAGAAGCCTACGATTTTGAAGGAATGGAGCGATCATTCACCATATTCCTAGTATGAAACTCCTAAGCAGTGTTCATTCACGGCCCTACCATCACCCATCGATTAAAGGATCTTTGATCTCGTGAGCGATCTCTCATTTTCTAAACCAACACTACAGCGTTGTGAATTAGTTGAATCTAGATACGTACAGCAGTGGATGTCGTCTTGGTGTCTAGAGATTACGAGTATGAGCACGAGACCGAAGGTCCTGTATCCAATCTCCGGTTGTGGGATCATGGATGTTCATTGCTGAAGTCACATACAATGATGATACAGCTGTCTAGTATATTCTTTTTTCAATTAAATAACAACACAGCCAACATCAAATATCTGCCTAGATAGTGACTTGTTATGTTTAACATATGAATCGATCACATCATTTGATGGACGTTTATAGCTTCATCATTAAACATATCGCTTTTGCCTAGTATCCCTAATGTAACTGAACTTCATTAATAACCGCGTCCTGGTTACACAATATATGAGCAGTGTTTTGTGAATGTTTACAATCCAGTAATTGAATCGTATGTCTGTTCTTTATTTATATTGACTGTATTTCACAACTGCTTCCAGTTCTCGCTGCAGTGTGTTCTTTGGCACTTTAGCGTTTGCTTCGTGATGCACTAACTTGAAATCCTGAGGGGTAGCGGTAAAGAGGAAGGCCAAAGAACACATTACGTCGGGAAATGGAATCAGATGTGAAAAGGATGAATAACAACTGGAAAGAGCTGGAAAGGATTGCACAAGATAGGGTTGGATGGAGAATGCTGATGAGCATCCTATGCTTCTCCACGATGAGTAACAGGCGTAAGTAAGTATGTAATAATTATTTACCGCTGAAAATTCAAAATAATTCATTATTGTGGTTTGTGCGCCTTTACAGTCAATTATGATAAATAGTAATTTGTACTTACTCAAACTTCCAGTGTTAAAGAAATACCTATTTGAATATGAAATATACCGATTGTGGTTGAGTGTTCTCACGCGAGACCAACAGGTTCACGATTCGAAACTCGCGAGACAGGATTGTGCACGCGAATTGTTGAGGAGTCTCACAGTAGGACAAAACGGCCATCTAATGCTTTTAGGTAGTCCATGGTGATCTAGCTTCAATCAATTCATGATCTCAACTATTACAATTACAATAATAAATTTATCATGAAAAATTAAAAAAACTGTTAGCCTGTTAGTGATTACATTTTTTTCTTTTTTATAATTTCTACAACGTGAGTAAATCAGATAAATTCACTTTAAAAAAATCAATATTTCTCTATTTCTCTCATTATTCTTGTGTATTGTTTTCTAATTAGATTACATATGTATGTATATACATGATTTGCTTACATCATCATTATTTCAGTAATGGTGAACATGATTATAGTTTCCATGATAAAGATTAGAAAATGTTTTGAATGTTTGATCAATCACCAAGTGATCATGAAATGATATTAATCGACAATTATGAACCTTCTTTTTTTTAACAATTTACCTGTTAAAAGTAAATATTTCTTATTTATTATTAAAGATTCAATGAATTAGTGGGATTCTTTTATAAACTACAAGATTACTTAAGACTACTTACTTACTTACTTACTTACTTACTTACTTACTTACTTACTTACTTACTTACTTACTTACTTACTTACTTACTTACTTACTTACTTACTTACTTACTTACTTACTTACTTACTTACTTACTTACTTACTTACTTACTTACTTACTTACTTACTTACTTACTTACTTACTTACTTACTTACTTACTTACTTACTTACTTACTTACTTACTTACTTACTTACTTACTTACTTACTTACTTACTTACTTACTTACTTACTTACTTACTTACTTACTTACTTACTTACTTACTTACTTACTTACTTACTTACTTACTTACTTACTTACTTACTTACTTACTTACTTACTTACTTACTTACTTACTTACTTACTTACTTACTTACTTACTTACTTACTTACTTACTTACTTACTTACTTACTTACTTACTTACTCACTCACTTACTTACTTACTTACTTACTTACTTACTTACTTACTTACTTACGTCTGTTATCCCTAATCGAGGAGCATAGGTAATGTCGACAGTAAGATTACTGAAAACAAAGAAACAGTAGACAAATAATAATTCAGTTTTTTATGACGCCTCATCAACCCACATTGAAGACCTAAATGGAACCCAGAAATTTGTTTATGTAGGCTATATTTGAAATTAATAAAAGTTTTACAACTGGATAAATTGAAATCCATATTTTATTTCTTTTTGCACTCTATATATATTGCAACATATCATGTATTAATGTCAGGGGTTTTGTGGATATTGCAGTAATTTTTAATAGTTGAGATCATGAATCAATTGAAGCTAGACCCTCATGGAAAATCTGGAAGTAATGAACGGCCATTTCATTCTACTGTGGGACTCCTCAGTAGTGCGCATCCATGACCTCGCCTTGAGACATTCAAACCCAGAACTTATCAATTCTATCAGTTTTAATCACTTTTATTTTGTGTAAAGTCTTTGTATAAAAGTCGATTATTTTTGTTACATAAAGCGAATCACTTTGCCAACTAACCGTTCTACTATTTTTTGTTGACATTATTTCACTGGGTCATTGTGTTAATAATCCGGCTTTCATAAGTAATCATGATATAATTTCCAACAACTGATGGCGTATCTGAAATCAAACAATCTATTCTTTGTTCTAACACACAAAGAAGGTCAATCATAGCTTGAATAGCTCAATGAAAACGTCATATATTTTGAGGTAGGGTTATTCAGGTTCAAATCCAATAGTGGAAACAATAGTTTACTTATTTGTCGTACTAACAAATGTCAACTAGCAAAAAATCCAAGTCCTAAGTTTCTAATCAACCAATCAAAGTAATATATTGAAGATCTTAAAATATCCACAATTCAACAACAACAAGATGATTCGAAAAGTAAACATTTGGGAGTTTCATTGAATTTCTGAAGTATAATTCAAATGTAGTAAAACATTTTGTTTTTCCATAAAACATTTATCATTATTTTCACTTGGTATTCATTACTTAGATCTTCCTATTGATGTTTAAGACCACAATTGATCAGTCTCTTATTGACATATGTGTATACTATGCATATTGCCTCAATATAGCCTTCATTCATAAGCATTATAGGCAAATATGGATAATGGCTAGCAATGGAATCCAGTTTGATGCGTGTTTCGTCCGATTTGGTACTCGTCAGTTGGATCTACCTACATCTCACAGTTGATGTTCATTCTGTAACTAATTGGATAATGTGATACTGGATTCGAGTACCAGAGTGAACATTAACTCTGTGATGCAGGCACATCCAATATGACGAGTATTGAATAGAACGAAATGCGCATCAAACTGTATTCCATTACTATTCAGTATTCATCTTTACTTATAATTCATAATGATCTTTTAACTTATCAACACATATGAAAGAAGATCAATTATCAGTGGAATGATATTGAAAAACAAAAAAAAATCAATAATGTACATAAATGAAGATGCAACAACACAAATGCATATTTTTCATGTTTTTTTTGTTGTTTTTGTTGTTTTCTTTATGTTCATATTGGTGACTCTAAACAACAAAAGCAACAGCAACAACAATAACAACAACAACAAAATAGTAACATTATGAAATCATTATTAAATGTACAAGTTGATTTCCTTTTCTTTTTTTTGGTTTTTTTTGTTTTACACATTTTGTTTCTCATGATTACGTAATAGTTGAAATCTCATAGTTACATTACTGATAGAAAAATACAAAAAAATAATTATAATACAATTATAATGTTATAATTATAAGGATTTATACAAAAGGATTGAATGATTTCCAAGGAAGAAATAGATGAATTTATTTGCTTCATGGGATACAAAACTAAAGTTTTTTTGTTTTTTTAAGTGAAAAAAAAGAGAAAAAAAAATTAAATCGATATTATCAACAACAAAAAACAAACAAACAAACAGGAAGCTAATACTAAATTATCAATTAACAAGGGAGAACAACAATTTGGCAACTTACTTGAACATTTGGGTTATCTATTCTTGTTACCTAAATATTTCAATAAGTTATTTACCTTTTGTTTTTTTAAATCTATCATTATATCTATTCTATATGATATCGACTATCTACGGTATTCCTGAGAAGATAGTCAATATCATACGGATGTCATATAATGGACTAAACTGCAAAAGAAAATGCATGCAGGACAGCTAACAGAGTCGTTCAATGTAAAGACCGATTTCAGGCAGGGTTTCTTACTCTCACCCTTTCTCTTTCTCCTGGTGATCGACTGGATCATGAAAACGTGAACATCTCTGGAGAAGCATAGGATATAGTGGACGGCTAGGATGCAGCTGAATGATCTAGCTCTTTTATCGCAAACGCAACAACAGATGTAAGAGAAAATAACCAACAGTGGGTATCCACGACCCTGCCTCACGAGATTCAAAACCAGGACATATCAGTCTCGCATGCTAGCGCTTAACCATTGGACCACTGAGCCGGCATCCAATGATGTTATTTTATTCATCAGTACTCATCATATCATTTTATTTATTTATTTTGCACCTCTATGATCGTTAACTTCATATCTCACAACATACGTTTATTTGTAGTTTATGTTGATAATGTTATGTAGGATGATAACAATAGCTTGATAATTAAATTACTTAATGGAATTTCTAATATGAACTATAAATCTTTGTTACTAACTCATCATAGTGTAACCATAGAATCGGTGATATTTCATAATATTGTACTATAGTATATGGTTAGTACTTAATGTTTAATTTACACTAAAAAATAAAACTGGAAGGAAAGATAGTAAATCAAAATAGTCAAATAACCTGTTATGAACTAATTTAAATATTCTCCATATATAGATGACTATGTATATATACACGTATGCTTGATTACAAATTCTCTCAATCTCTGTCACGTGACGTTTCGTATTATGTAAGCTCGGAATTCCACATCTTCAGACCAAACAGTGTTTACAGTAGCTGTTTTAGGTATGAGGGCAGTTGTCACTTCCTGTTTGCCCACACCGTGGAAGGGTTCACTTGGAGGTACCTTAAAAGGAAATTTGATTACAGTTGATCTTAGTAACTTGAGAGCGTGGCCGTAGTGCCCAATAGACAACTACTTAAAGTCGGTCACACACGATTTTTTTGTGAGTAATTTTTGTGTTAACTCCGTACTTATTGGAACCTTATTACCGGAGACGAAAATCCGTAGAATAAGACGAGATGTGCATTTTTAGGGTCGCTCTTTTCTAACCCCACTCCTCCTTGCAGGAATTCAGCATCGCTGTTACGCTGGGTGTCTGAAGTAGACACCTTGCCTGTCTCGCATGGTAGGACTTTGAGAAACGATTTTTCCTGCCAATATAGCTCGATTGGTTCATCATGATATTCAAGCCCAACCATCACATCAAGGTAGCAACAACGATCGGGATCTGTCGGTTTGATTAAGAATGAATGCTTTATTGCACACAGATAAACTTGCCAACAACTTAACCCAACATTTACTTAGCTTCTAAGTCATAGTTGCCACTCCAGTTCTAACATAGGTAATGTATATTTAAATAATGATTAAAAATGTATTAAAGGAAGGATGTCTCATCCAATATAGTACTCGATATGTAAATTCCATTACAATCCGTAACTAAAATAGCCAATTATGTCAACTATAATATATTCAATGAAAATAACCATAATAATAACAAAAGGGTATTAAAAAAAAAACTGTACAAACGCACACTTACCTAGAAAATGTTCCACCAACTATACAATGCCAATAAGGTTTATGTTTATGATCAAATTGTATTTTAATATATCTTGCAATTTCTTGTTCAGTATTATGTTCATCAATTGCATTTGCAGCTATATAGACAGCATCCTCTTGCATAGCACGATTCATATCAGCATCTTTAACCATAGCTACTATTTCTTTCATAATATTATGATTATTATTGACTATATGTGTATTGGATAAACTTTAATATTTTAATATTGATTTATAAGTAAATTATCAAGGGATAAATAAATGTGCTCAATCGTTAGAAACTATACAATTATATATCTATCTCTTTACTTATCTATCTATCTATCTCTATATATAGCTGATTGTAATTGCTTCCCAAACAAAACAATTTGATTTATTCAGCACAATTGTGCAACAGAACTACACAATAAAAGGGTGTAACCAATCATTAAATGTATATATAATGTTAACTTATTGTTAAGTTAAGGAGAAAACAAAACAAAAATAGAAGAAGAAAGAAAGAAAGAAAGAACTCAACACTTTATGCTTACACAATTGATGTGTACAAATAAATAATGTAATTTGTTGATAGACAATAAAACAAACAAACAAAAATGTAAACTATCTTACTAATAATATAAGCGAGTACATTCTATAGGATAAAATAAAAGTATTCATTAGAATGGTAAACAATTTGAACAATACAGATAAGGTGTGTTTAATGAATGCAGGCTTAAAGTAATTTAATATATAATGAATTGTTCATTGTGCTCATTATTGATGTTGATAGTTATCCAGGAATGAAACACTTTGATTTGCTTTAGTATATACATACATGTTTACTATATTGGTATATAATTTATGTGACGAAATCTAAGCATGGATAGAGAAGAATCGACTAGCTTTTGCCAACTTGCGTCATTTATGACGTAGACAAGATATTTGTCTACCAATCAAAAGATGGGTTTACTGTGTAACATTTTGTTCCGTCCTACTTTATGGCAATGAAACATGACCGGTAAGAGTAGAGGATATTCGTATGTTACTAGTATTCGACCATATGTGTCTTCAAAGCATTGCTCATATATCCTGAGATAACCGAGTAAGTAACGCAGTTGTTAGGAAACGTGTACTAGGTATGGATAGCAAATCAACTAATGAAGTAGTGAAACTTCATCATTTGAGATAGCTTGGACACGTGTCACGTATGCCCAGGCACCGACTGCAACGACGTGTGATGTTTTGTGGTGTACGAGTAGGTTGGAAGAAAAATAGGGGCGGTCAGATCAAGATATGGCAGAAATCTATGAAGTGACTGACAAATAGACTGTGTGAGCCATGTTGGTAGGTGTAGACTACCTGGTTGAGATCCGCGGGACGATAGCAGTCGATGGTTAGAGACCTTGAATAACATGGCTCAAACACACTACACTGATGATTGGAATCAGACATGAAAAGAATGAATAGGAACTGGAAACATGTGGAAGGGATTGATCAAAATATAGTTGTTTGTAGAATGCTCTTTTACGACCTATGTTTCACCACAAGAATTAACAAGCGTAAGTGATAAGGGATCTAAATGACTTTCAACAAACTACATTTATTAAACATAGTCGTTAAGTCGAAATGAATACCTGAAAATCATATTATTACATAATATTCCAATTCATTTTTTTGTATGTTGCTTTATTCATCTTGATTATTTGTCATATAATGAAGAAATCTCGGCGAGACTATAATTTATGGACGAACCAATCAGGTATAAGATTACAGGTCCCAAATTTTGATAGAGGTTTGTTCTTTGACTAAACCATCCATCTTAAAGAAAAAACTCCATCAAAATCATCCACCTGAGTTACAAATCTTCTCTACGAGGTCTCGGATTTTGGCGCAAAATTCACTCATCCATTTGGTTAAATAGAGTTTTGGCATTATAACTGATGTCAATTTCGTGATGAAAACCCTGAATAGAATTCCTCACACTCTATTATGACCCTCATTTGATCCTAGTTATTATTAGTAGGTGAACATTCTCAAAATCACTTTACCATCACTTAATGGTCGTCCATCAATGATAGTCTCATTGAAATCTCTAATCATTTAATCCATTTATTATTAATTAAATAAAACAGGATTTATATTAAAAACATGAATATACTACTTACTATCTACTCAAATCTAATAAAATAATCTTGAAGAAAATCACTTTTTTTCCTATGAAAGTATTCTATCATTACATAGAACTATTTATATATCATCATACTGTAAATGTATTTAATCTATAAAACACGTAATCATAATTAGTATCTATTCTGGTATATCATTATTCGTTTGTTCACATAGTAATTAATTAACACCTCTTCAACATTGTTATGTAATAAACATAGAAGATTAAATTTCTTCTTTTTTTTCAATATTGTAAATTTGCATTATTGATTATTGTGATTAATTTCATATGGTGGTGATGATGATAGATATTTTTCTTTCTTTTTTCTCTTTTTTTTTGCTTTTGGTTACTAATTTTAGAAAATCTTTCAATCAAATAAATGACATGGTTACTAGAATCAAGTGAATAGGAGTAAGTAAAAATAATAAACGTATATTGATTTTGTATCATATAAGAGGTTTTGTGGAGATTGTAATAATTTCAATAGTTGAGATCATGAGTCAATTGAAGTTAGATCATCATGGAAAATCTGAAAGCAATGGACGATTTTTTCGTCTGTAGTATGGCGTCGAGTAGCGGTTGACTATGATCACCACTACAAGAAAACTACGTGCCAGTTAACCTAGAAAATCACCCATAGACCAAATATCAGATAGCAGTTGATGGCTGTAGTTGAGATGTATTTGTTGGCAATCTCGTGGTATTGAAAGAATACCAAGATCGTGCTAGGTCAAAAGTATGGTTACCGAGCGTAACCGAAGTCGTGCAAGGTTACAATCAAAGGTAAGAAGAATATATTTGTTTTGGTACAGTTAAACAAACAAGTACATTGAAATAATCACTGGTACAGTTGGTTATAATAATTGTTTCCATTAAACCAATCGCGTTCTCTTGATAAAAGTAGGTCACTACACGTTGTCTTGTGGGACTCTTCAACAGTGAACATCTACGACTATGCCTTGCGAGATTCGAATCCAGGATCTATTGATTTAATTGAAAAAAAGTTTTGTTTTTACATGCAAATCAATAATCTAATCACTAGTGCTGAAAACAAGCTTTAATTCAATTAGAATAGAATGTTTTTCATAGAGAATTTGAAAGTTTATTTTACGTAATGTTTGAAAAGTGGAACGCTAAATTGGGAAACTAAATAATTTGGGGGGAGATTTTCAACTCTTCCCGGATGCAATGAAAGTTAAATCTTAATATCTGTAGTATAGAAAGATATCGTCAGTTGTTAGTCTAATCATGGTATTTTCGAAATGGACAATGGAACAGTGAATTAGAAGTGGGTTGATTAGTGTTTTCATTCATGCAAAGTCAGTTTACCTACGAAATTCATCATTTAGCTTCAACTGGATGTTCAAACAACATCAAAGAAGTAACTTCTTCAGATGATGCCTTAGAAAATCGATATCATGTCTGTTGCTTTTAATGTGTCCACATAGGATGACGGTTTTAAAGTGTTTTTTAGACAGGACAATAATGAGATAACATTTTTTTGTCACGTTGATATCAGATTTTATAACTGAAAAATTAAATAAGTGAATAGTAATGCGTTTGTTGTGCTGATCCTTCACTGGTTGCAAACGTTCTGTTGTGGTATGTGCTAGTGATGTCGATAGATATAAGTAGTATGTATCATCAGTCGAAAGTGAAATGTCTGGCGGCAGAAGGTTAAGAGGATCGAAAGAAAAAGGACGAGAACAGGAAATGATTGGTGTGGAAATGAGGGAATAATCAAGTCTGAAACGATTGATTGATATTTTGCAAATGAAGTATTTACTGCATTATTCTCAAATTTTATTGAAATGATCTGTAATTTTATGTACAAGTACACTTAGTTGTTCCCACTTGTGTTCTCGTTCACTGCACTGTCAGTCATTTAGCATTACGAAATATGTGAGGCGGAGAGAAGCAATTTTCTTGTGTAGCTCAAAGAGGTGATATGGCCGAGCGATAAAAGACCAATATGGTATAATGCATTCGTAAATGTCTAGACTAATGACTAACTCATCTTTTATATTCCTCAGGATTTTTGTTAACTTATAAACAGTTTGTTCTGAAACATCTTTGAGAATGTTTTCCCAGAAGATTTTGTTGGTATCCGGCAGAATGTTAGATGCTTTGGTGATATAGTCCTGTAGGGCCAGTGAAATGTCACTGAGCCTTAGCCAAATCATCTGGCAGTTGGATCACTGAATGTCTAACAGATCATCGCTCCCTGCCAAGGTCATGTACAAGCAACGTTCATTAGTTAATCATATGCTTGAACATTGCTTATCGCCTACGCATATATTCATTCTGCTAGCTTTATTATTAGCTGCTTAATTGATTCGATGATCCATTCATTTCCCTATATAAATGCATGTATATTTAACACTCTACACTCTCGGTTCGCTGACTCATTCATTCGCCTCTCTGCCTTGTGATCTGAGTTATCTGCGAATAAAACTGTAGTCGCTGCTTCTCTTTGCCTTCTGATTTCAAACACCGTTGAGGATTATATGATGACGGTTACGAGGGTGATTGGTCAACGAAACACAGTCACTACATACTTATGACTGAGTTGTGGGCAGTGAGTTATTAGAGACGTATTTCTCAGACATCCTTCAGAAAAAATGTATTCTTTTGTTGATTTAAAGTTTCTCATCAACCTCATATTTCATGTCTTGTAAACGCTTCTTTGAAACTGCGTCTACGCACTTGTCAAATCTGTCCCAATCATAATCAATTGGTTTTAAAACCGTTTATAAAACAGTCTATTTCCCAACTTATAGGTTGATTGTCAAAAGATCGTGTTAATGACCCATAACTCCTGTAGATAAACCGTATAGAAAGTGAGCCAGATATATAAGGATGGATTATTATATTTGTTGGTGTTAACTTTAAACTGACTGAGACTGTGACAGCAATGAAATCTTTAATATACCTTAAGATATTTGTCTTAAAAAAAATGAGAAATTGATCAAGTATTCACACACCAGAACATAACATTCGTGTTTATTCCTACATAGCTTCCGATGATCCTTCAAAAGATATCATTATGTTTTCTAGACTTTTATATTTTCCATTAGATATTTTTTCAATTAGTGCACAATATATACTTTCAACTTAATAATAAAGTATATATCCTGTTTGGTTACGTTCAACCTTCGCCTTCTGATCTACTTGGCACGTGTTTCTTGGTAGCGGTGTTCATAGTTAATCTCAACTCGACACCACGCTACAATTGGCGATCCCAAAGTTTGGAACACGCCTCAACCTCTGGTCAAATCTTCCAAAGGAGCCAATGCGGTGAGTCTATAGTTTATCTATCCACGTCTGTCGTAAATTTTCATATTATCTTTTAATATTTAATATACAGGACATGACGGATAGCGACAAGAATAGTATTAATATAATAGACCCACATGTATGTGTACCGAATCCTTGGCACTTTTTATTCATGTGACGACAAATTCCACGCTTTATTCGAGAAATTTTCCCCTATTAACTATTCTCCTCGCTGACCCGGCTGCTTGGTACGGAATGCATTCGCATACGCATTAACGTCTTCCTCACAGCATCAAATGGTTAAGTTGAACGGTTTCATTGCCAACTTAGAAGTGCTCTACGAGCACACGAGAACGACAACTGGTACGAAACCTTATCGCTCGTCCTCTTAGGTATTCAAACGAGCCTGAAGGCAGATATACAATGTTCCGCCGCTGAACTGGTATACGGTACGACATTGCGTCTGCCCGGAGAATTCTTCACATCACGGAGCAGACCTGATGTCGGTAAATCAGACTACGTCCATCGACTGTCTGCAATTATGCGAACGGTGTCTCCGGTGTCAACTCGAATACAACATCGACAGGTCGCTCTCCCTCATGAGTTATCTACCTGTTCATATGTTTTCATACGATTAGATTCGGTACGCAAACCTTGGCAACAACCTTACGAAGGCCCTTTTCACGTAATCGCTAGTCACGAAAAGACCTTCAAGGTTGATCGACATGGCCGCGACGAGATCGTCAGGATTGATCGTCTCAAATCAGCACACGTCGATGACAGTGCCCTATCTGATAACCTGAGATTCAATGCTAGACCTATTTAACCTAGCGGGATCCTTAAATCTTCTTCAGATCCCACGCCAGATAAGTCTGAGACCTCGTTCTCACGTCCCGGTCAACAGCACGCATCATCTGCACCGTCTACGAACGAGACGACAGTCTCACGTCCAGATCAGCAGACCACGCTGCGTCTGACCTCGAATGAGATTGCAGGCTCACGAGGTACTAACGAGACAGCCGTCTCATGTTCCGGTCGCCGAGTACGGTTGCCCGTACGTTTCCGCGACTAGCCGCACAGTTAACAACCGATACCGTGTAGGATTATTCCTATACTACACGCATGCAACACTCTTCTTTTTTGATTTTCTTTTTGTTTCCTGAGCCCACGACTTCGACCATCTCCGTTTGAATCCGCCGACTTCAGTCAACTTTGGCGAAAGCTGGATTGGCCACACACGCTCGTGTCAACGCACTCAGTCGATATATTGGTTTCGAATGCTTGGCATACGATTGGTCTCGAACTTGGTCGTTACGGTCGCTCCTGGTCTTTTGGCCCAACGTGGTTTTGTCCTACCTCTGCAACGTTTCTTGTCCGCATTCCCTACGAACGCAATCTTCAGATTCTGGATACAAACCACTCTAGTGTAGCATGCCAACTCAAGCAATACATACAGCACATCGCTCCTGGTACTGTTCTCCGAAAACGAACTTCGTTGGCAACTCGACGATCAACGATCGCTTTCCAGTTCGCCAATTCTTCCGTCCTACAATCGCTCGTCAGCCGATTAGTCCCACGGTTCAAACCGCTATTTATCGAAAGTGTAAACCGCTTCTAGCGGGGGGCTCCTGTAGTGACACACATTTATCACGAGAACACGACTGGTTTAATAAAAACAATTATTATTATAACCAACTGTACCAGTGCTTGTTTTAGTGTGCTTTTGTTTGACTGTGCTAATGACAGCTATATTTTGCTTCCATTCATATA